CGTGGGTGCTGGGATTTGAACCCAGGTCTTCTGCAAGAACAACCAGTGTTCTTAACTGCTGAGCCATCTCTCCAGCCCCCATTATTTATTATTTTTTTAAATGTGTATGAGTATATTGCCTTCATGTAGGTAAATGCACCCGTGTCGTGCAATGCCCGCAGAGAACAGAAGGGGCCATAGGATCCCCTGGAACTGGAGTTATGGACAGTTGTTAGCTGCCATGTGGGTGCTGGGATTCGAACCTGGGTCTTCTGCAAGAACAACCAGTGTTCTTAACCACTGAGCCATCTCTCCAGCACCCTCAAAGGAAGATTTTTTTTAAAACAAGGTAATTATAGGAATTGAAAAGACCTTCTATATACAGATTTCACTCTTGATCTCATAGAGATCTGTCTGCCTCTTCCTCCTGAATGCTGGGGTTAAAGGCATGTGCCAGCATGCCTGGCTGATTTTCCCCATTTTAAACTGGCAAATTGAAATAATCCTTAATTCTGTTAACAGAAGACACAGAATTGTCAAAAACACTAGAGCTTACTTTTGTCTTTTTGAAATTTGTGTGTGCGTTAGTTTCTTCTTTGGTAAAGAACAGTGATGAAAGAACTTGCTCTTCTATATACTGAAAATATTTATAGAAAAGAAATAAATCTGTGCAGTAGCAAAACATTGCCAATTAGATTAATGCAATGTAACAGTGACCTGTAATGTGACATGACAATGTAATGAAGACTTCTGTAACTGCAAGAAAGGAGAAGTTAAATTACTAAAGGTCTGGATACCTCTGGTTATTTATTCAGAAGATATCCAATTCAGATCTTTACTTTATGGCATATATTATTGTAGCTTTTAATGAATAGTTTAAAAGTATAAATTAAGCCATAATAGGAGTTAGGATTGTTGCTCAGTGGTAGGGCAGGGGCTTCATAAGTGGGAAACACTGGGTTTCATAGTATCACACACAGCACACAAACCCATTCACACAGATCAAAGCATAAGTACAACAGAAAATAGAGGCAGTTCCACCTCTGAAGAAGTTTCTATCTTAAAAGTAATGAGATTAGTTGCAAAGCAGAGTATGTTCAACTTTATATAAAACTTACATAATGCACTTTAAACACAATTAAGGTATAAGAAGCACACGGAAACATCAAAAATGTCATTGCTGGGTTTCATTGGTGTGCTGTCACCAGCATGAACATGCCAGTGAGACTGCACAATATACATTTTTGTGTTCAGTGTCACCATGTGAGTTGATTGAAATCATGTGAGTATTTATACCATAGAAGGAGGTAATGCTACAAAGCAGGGTACTTCTCTCCTTAGGAAAAATAGTGTTTTTTTAATTGTTAAATATTCAACAATATGTCACTAGTTATTCGTCTTAAAATATAAAAGTGCTTATCAAATCAAAAATAATTAAAAAGTGCTAAAACCCAAAAGATATATGGACAAAAGACATGAGCACATTATTGGCAGAGGAAATACAAATGATCATAGTCACATTAAAAAGTGAATTCAAGCTGGGTGCGGTGGCGCACGCCTTTAATCCCAGCACTCGGGAGGCAGAGGCAGGCAGATCTCTGTGAGTCCAAGGCCAGCCTGTTCTACATAGTGAGTTCCAGGACAGTTGGGGCTACAGGGAGACCCTGTCTAAAAAAGACCAAAAGAAAAAAAAAGTAGATTCAATACCTTTAAGGAAAAAAAATCTCATTTCTGTACATTAGCAAGGATTGAAACAATAACTCTCATTGTTATCAGAGGCCCAACAAAAAAGCATCTCATATAATGCTAATGGAGTGTAAATTAGTGTAAAGCTTCTGGAAACCAATTTGGCAACGTGTATCAAGAGCTTTCATGGTATGTACATCCTAGTGATTCTACTTCCAAGAATCTCTGTTATGGAAATGGTCCAAAGCCACAAGGATATTTCAACATTAAGAGAATAATTAAGCAAATCATAATACATGCACCACACAGAGATTTTAATGACATATGAAAGAGTTTATAATTTTATGTTAAAGATTGTGCTTATGAAAACAGCCTTGGTCTCTTGAATGGAATGCTTGCAAGGACTAGAAGAAGATATATCTGGATGTTTGTAGAGAGTGCCATTCAGTGGTGGAATTGAGAGAAAAAAATTTCTCAGATTTTAAAATTTCTTCATGAACTTTCAAATTAATTACAATGAAAAAATATTGCTTTTAATAATTGAGCAAAAGCCCCTCAATAAAGCAATGCTAAGCATAAAATTCTCTTTTATTTAGTGTATCAGTTACTTTTCTGTTGCTGTAATAAAACAACATGACCAAGGCATCTTATAGAAGGAAGAGTTTATTGGGCTTATGGTTCCAAATGGTAAGAGTCCTTCTTGGTGGAGGCATGGCAGGAGGCAGCCAGAGCAGAAAGCTGAGAGTTCACATCTTCAAGCACTTGCAGGAAGCAGAGAGGGAAAGTTGGAATTGGGATGAAGCTATGAACTCTCAAATCACATCCTAGTGATGTGCTTCTCCCAGTTCACCTAGACCACACCTCCTTAAAGCTCCCATGACCTTCCGTAAACAGCTCTACCAACTGGCCAAGTGTTCAAATACTTGAGCCATATGGAGGACATTTCTCATTCAAACCACCATATGGACTTTTAAAAAAAATCATTTGTTTTTCTAGGTGTGGTGATGCATGCCTGAAATCCCAGCATTTGGAAAGATGGCAGGAGGATTAGGAGTTCAAGTCCAACCTGTCTCCAAAGGGGGAAAAAACAACCAACCAACCAAACAAACAAAAACCACATTTGACTTTAAAAAGAAACCAGCAGCTTAGCTGTTGCACTTTTAGTAAGTTTAAAAATTTATTCCATTTCTTTTAAGGACTTGAGTTAAAGTTTATTTCACACTTGAATCTATGTTGAAGGCCAATTTGCAAATGGACTAACTGGGTTGATGAATTCCTTAAAGATGTTTGAATAGCATCCATTTTTGTGTAAAACACTCATTGAATTATTTACTAATGTAAGCCTAGTAGTTTCTGATTTGCAGTGTTTAGCTACATTACCTTAAAGCCTTTAATGCCTTTTTGTGTGTGTGTGTGTGTGTGTGTGTGTGTGTGTGTGTGTGTGTGGTGCTGGGGATCAGCCTGGCAAATGCTCTTTCACTGAATTACATTTCCAGCTTTTGATTTCCATGACAAGGACTCACTGTGTAGGTCAGGCTGGCCTGGAATTTTTGATTCTCTTGTCTCTGCCTCCAAATGCTGAAATTATAGGTACGTGTCACCATGCTGGTCTATAAATATCTGTATCACAGTTTGTTTCTAGGCCAATTCAATATGTGCTGATTACCAATAAATTAACCTTTTTATAATTTCATGGGTTACCTTTCTGTGTTCTCTCAATTGCATTATGGGTTCCATTAGACCTACACATTGATAACATATTCTTAAATATCTTCAGCTTTAATCACAAATTCACAAGTCAGTTATTCTAAGTTAATTCCATGGTCAGCGTTTAGTTTTCTTTCTAACTTTAAAAAATCAGTCTTGTAATCTCACAGGTATTAGATGAGGACAAATATAATGCAAGGATATTATTGTCAATTTTCATGATTCTACAAGTTATTTGAACATTTGGGTGAAGTGTACTCTCCAGAACCCTTTCCTTAAAGTTGTTTATCCAGCTTCGCCATGTGTAAACACTAAAAACTCTGAAAGGCCTGTAATGAAAATTTGTTTATCATGATTTAGCCTAACCATTTTGGTTTTTTAAAATAAATTCTTAAAAATAATTTATTTCTTCTACATAAGATAATTTTAAGAATGTAGTCTTTGACCCATATTTCCTATCTATCTAAACCACCCTTTATGATGTCTTAACTTTCAAAATTTCTGCAACTTTAAAAGGGCTTCCAGTTAGTATTTAACTCTCTTGAATCCCTCCTGTCTTTGCTGTCCTCTGATTCTAGTTTTGATGACCTGTTCCCCAACTAGAACTATAATGACTTGCTTGTCTGTTGACTTGAAGTTTCTTGATTAATTTTCATCCTTTGTACAAGTTTGTGAAGATAAATTGAAAGATACTCAGGTCATAGATTAATGAGAAGGGGCAGAAAGATTCCGCGTGTTTTTTGGGGGGGAGGGGGCATGAGAAACTTTTTCTTTTAGCTTCTTAAAAATCACTTGTTTACTCAAGAAATATTTAGAGTGCTAACTGCATCCCATTTTTCTCTGGTTTGTGACAATAGTGAACTAAACAGAATCTTGACCCTTATGTAGATTGTCTCTTAGAAGAGGAAACAAACAAACACACAGAGATCACTGTAGATTGGGCTAAGCACTATAGATAAAAGCTGAGTTTAAGGGAAGGTTGAAACTGTTGAGGTGGGGAGGGGTGCTATTATAGTTTGATGGGAATGCTCTCATACAAGGTGATATGTGAGTTTTGGAACCTGATGGAAATAACATTTCATAGGATTATCTGTAGGAGATGGTCTAGCTCAGGCGAATAGCAATGAATGGCTAGAGGACAGTGTTGTCAAAGTGAAGAGATGGCTGGGAGACAGATCAGAAACTTTGGAATCAGCTTTATTAATGAACTATAGAAACCTCTTCTTAAAATTATTATATTCATAGTCTTAGAGATTTAGAGTAATAAAGTCTCTTACCACAATATTTGACATAAAAAAGTTTTTTGAAAAACTTTTTGGTATAATGAGCAATCAAAAAGTTGAACTGTTTTCCTCTGGAGCAGCTACATTTTAATAATATAAATTCAATAGCAGCACATTTCTACAATTGAAAAATGACTTTGATGGTTGATAGTCTTTGTCAAGCAATGATGTCAACATATGAAAATAGACCTACCTCAATGTTTTGATTGAGTTTCTTGACTATGCTAGTGATGGTCTGGATGTGACTTTCTAGTAACTTCCTGGCAAGAGATTCTTCTTTTCGAAAGCCCTGGGTCCCCTGGAGGCAGGCAGAGATATCTTCCTTGATGCGGAAGGCTTGTTTAAGGAGGAAGGCTATGGTGCGCTCCTGGTTATTCAGTCTGCCTTCTAGTTGATTTGTCTGGTTGTTTGGAATGACAGGCAGAAGAGGAGGACTGCCGGCCAGAAAAGAGAACATCCAAGTGTTAGAAGAATGAGCTGGCGGGTCCAGGAACCTGAACACATTTTCTTTCAGCCATTTTCTCTCTGAGAGACATTTGGTAGGATGTTAAGCATTTTCAGAAGCTTGATCTGTGTCTCATCTAAGACGCAGATCTGACATATGCCTTGACATTATATCACACATTTTTTCATGTTTCACAAGCAAAAGTTATTCCATACAAAATGTTGACAAATTTTAAAGTGAAATTGGTAGTTGGGAAGGTGAGGGGAAGCTATGAGGGAAGATAAGAGACATCTTCCATGACTTAAGCCTTATCCCTTTTATACCCTTGTATAAAAATTCTATTTTAATCTAAAAATTCAAAGTTCTTATATTTGTAAAAATGCAAAAAAGGGCCATGGGGAGATGGCTCAGTAGGTAAAGTACCTGCTGTGCAAGCATGAGGACCTGAGATCAGTCACAGGATAAAAAGCCAGGCACAGGAGGTGGAGAGATGACTCAGCAGTTAAGAGTACTGGCTGCTCTTGCAAAGGACTCAGGTTCAGTTCCCCACACCCACATGACAGCTAACAACTGTCCTTTACTCCAGTTCCAGGAGATCCCATGCCCCCTTCTGGCTTCTGCAGGCATTGCACAACATTGGGTATGCTTATATACATGCAGGCAAAACACTCATGCATATAAAAATAGAAATAAATAAAAATTAAAAGAAGGGATAGTGGCATACATATATAACTCAAGTGCTGGGGAAACAGGCAGTGGATCCCTGGAGTTCGTTGGCCAGCCAACCTTGCCAAATTAATGAATTCCAGGTTCAGTGAAAGACCTTGTCTCAAAATATAAGGTCAAGAATGATTGAGGAAGATATGCTGTCTTGTCCTCTGACTTAATACACACACACACACACACACACACACATACATGCATGCATGCATGTACACACACCACACCACACCACACTAAACTTAAATACAAGAGTGACTGCTTTAGAGAGTATCTCTAAGGGTTTGTATTGGACTAGTAAGTAAAATAGGCTATTGTAAAATGATTTTATGGCCAAATAAAATCGAAAAACATTGCATGCAATATCCTTCTCCTGGTAACTTGCATTGTGTAGTATCCTATCAATGTCTAACAGAATTATATTAATTTCTTAGAAAAGGAAAACAGTTCATAGGATAGGCAAATAACTGGCCTTAGGTCATCTGAAACCCACGAATGACTAAGGCACTTATTCTATCCCTCAGTTCAGAGACTTCCAAAGCTCTTTTGCACAGATTTCTGACCCCTTAAAAGGTTAAAACTACAATAGATTTACATAGAAGAATTGTAAGTTAACTTTAAAATAGTTTGTAGTGCTACTAAATTTCTTGGCAATTTTTTTCATGTCTTGGTCCGGTAGCAGGGGCTTTGCCTTTTTTCTCTTGAGTCTTTTGTTTAACACACTTCTGTAGGTGCTCTCTTTTAAAGTAGTGTTTCAGTACCATGAACTATTTATCTTGCCACATCAGAATTAAATCTAGTTATCCTGAAACCTAGCTTAAGATGATTTTCATGATACTACCTCTGAAGAGTGGCAAAATATTTTTATTATCATTAGACGGAAAAGCCAGCTTTAAAAGAAGAATGGGATTTGATTTTCTGAGGGCCTAGGACTGAAATGATGAATATGATAAAAATAAGATGAAAAGATGAACAAGACAAATTCCTTTCCTCTAGAAAAATATTGTTATATGGTAATATTTTAAAAATGACCATTATCTGAGCTGAATGAAAGTCCAAGGCCAAGTAGTTCATACTTCTTTCATTTCATGAGCCAAAATGATTATTAAGTGCTATAGGTTAATATCTCATTGGAAGTGAGAATATCTTGAAGACAGAAAACTTTAAGTTCAGATTGTGAACACGAATTATCTTCTGAAGACTACAAGTATCTGCTAGAACTTAGTCTATATGTGTGTATAACAGGTAGCCAAACGCCTGACTTAAGTAAAAAAGGGTTTTGGCTATGCAACTAGAAGTCTAGAGAGAGCTGGTCCAGCAGAACAGGAAAGCCCTCAGACACTAGGCTCCTCTGGAGTCCTTGTGGTCCACCTTTAAGTACTGTGGATGTATTTCAAAAAGAAAGACAGAGGAAAAAGAGATATTTGGACTGGAGAGATGGCTCAGTGGTTAAGAGCACCAGAGGACCTGGGTTCAGTTCCCAGTACCCACATGGCACAAACGACTGTCTATAACTCCAGTTCTAGGGAATCCAATGCCTTCTTCTGACCTCCATGGGCATTTCAAGGCATGGGTGCTCTTATATACATGCAGGCAATACAGTCATACACATAAAATAAAAACAATAAATTATAAAAAAGAATAAGTATTTGCCAGCTGAATTTGTTTACCCTTCCTTTTTAAAATGAGAACATTTTCTGGAAGATTCACCATGACACTTTTGTCTCTTTCATTGGTTGAAACTGTTACAAATTGTCTCCTCTTATGATTTAAAAATAAATTAACAGGTTATTTGAGCATGAGAAGATGAATGAATCAGATAGTTTAAAACAAACTAGAGCTTTCATAAACAAAGAAGGACAATGTATTGGGTTGGCTACCAGTGGTATTAGATATACACAAGAGCTTCAATTTAAACCAAGTATTGCTGATCAAGGAAGTTAAAAATCAAGGGCTGGGGAGATAGCTCAGTTAGGAAAGTGCTTACCTCATGATTTGGTTACTTTTCCTGTTTCTGTGATAACACACCGTGACAAAAGCAATGGAAGCGTTTATTCTGGCTCACAGTTTAAGGGGAACATTTCACCATGGAGAAGGCATGGCAGCAGGTGGGAAGGCGTGGTAGTAGGAGCAGGAGGCTGGTTGGTCACATTGCATCAGCAGTCAGGAAACAGGATGACAGGAAGTGTGGCTGGGCTATAAAGCCTCAAGGCCTGCCCCCCCACCCCTGTGACCCACTTCCTCTGGAAAGACTCCACTTCCTAAAGGTTCCACAACCTTCCCGAACAGCTCCATTAGCTGAGGACCACATCAAACATATAAGCCTATGGGGGGAACATTTCACATCAAACTACAACTCACAAGTATAAGGACTCAAGTTCAATGCCCAAAACACAGGTAAAAATGCTGGATGTGGTGGTGTGCACTTGAAATCCTGGCACCAACTAAGAAGGTGAAGACAGAAAGACAGCTGGGGCTTGCTGGTCAGTCATTTTAGCCTAATTGGTGAGCTCCAGGTTAATGTGATATGTTTCAAAGGTGTATGGCATGTGTGCACACACACGTGCTCACGCACACACACACACACACACACACACACACACACGCACCACACAAACACATGCACACACCAAGATGTTGGTCATTTGGTCTCTATTGTATAATCTGTAACCAAAGTTCCTTGGGCTTTGCTAAAAGCTAACAAAAAGTCTGCTACAAATATCATTGTTATTATGCTAGTGGTGGATCAGTGTGTGCAAAAAGCAAGGCTTTAACTGCCAAGTGAGCGGCAACAGAAACTCTTAGGAACGTCAAAGAAGAGGAGGTCATGCTATGAGCTAAAGAAAATATGCCTTAGGACTGGAGAGATGGCTCAGCAGTTAAGAGCACTGGCTGCTCTTGCAGAGGATCTGGGTTCGATTCCCAGCACTCATATGATGACTAACATAACCGTCCTAACTCCAGTTCTAGGAGACCTGACATCCTCTTCTGACCTTTGCTGGCATTGCACAACATGGGTGCATTACATAAATGCAAGCAAAACACTCATACACACAAAGTAAAAATAATAAAGTATTTTAAAAAGAAAATATGCCTTACTTCTTTTAAATTTAGTAGCATTGCAACACTGTCCCCTCAAATAGAGTGCAAGTTTATATATATAATTTATCATTTTTATTGGTCACATTACAGAAAGGTCTTTAAAAGGATGAAACGGGGGCTAATGAAATGACTCAGTGCTTGCCAAGTAAGCCTGGTGATCTGAATTAGATTCCTAGAATCCACAGGGTGGAAGGAAAGAATAGACTCCCAAAAGCTGTCCTCTGATCTCCACACACACATCATGACACACAAGCATGTGCACACAGACACACAATAATTTTTAAAACTTTTTAAAATTAGAAGATGAAATTAATCACACTACATTTTATTTAACATAGTACATCCAAAATGCCATTGCAGCATGAACCAATGTGAAGTTAATTGGTAGGATATTTTATACTGGCTTTGAAGTCTGTATATTTTACACTCATACAATGCCCCATTTTGGACTAGACATATTATAACTACTTGATAGTTATACATGATGCAATGCCATTGTGCTGGACAGTATAGTTCTACTAAATGCGATCCATAAAGCACAAAGAAAAAGCCAGTTAAAAGACTGTCACTATGTCCAGAAGCTACTTTTTCACTTTAGAGTGATTATAGCTATTATCTTTGAGTACTTAATATGTTACACATTTAGTCTATTTTATATGGTTCATTTACTAAATTTTGGTAATAACATTATCAGAGAGATGTATTAATATTACCCCATTTTAAAGACCATGACTGGGGCTTATAGGTATTAAGTAACTTATCCAAGATCACTCAGCTAGTAGTGGAAAGGTATTCAAGCCAGTGCTGTAGTCCACACACAGAAGATTGCAACCTTGGCCTTAAAAGCACTTTTGAAACATACCTTTTATTGTAATCACTATCCTAACAAGTCAGATTGGGTGGATGGCTTTTAGATGCTTATAAATTTAATATCTGATAACTCTATGCTATGGTGAGGGCTGATACCCAGAAGATAAAAGATAGCTTACAGGCAGAGATAAGAAACTGGAGAGATGGCTCAGCAGTTAAGAGAACTGGTTGCTCTTCCAGAGGACCTGGGTTCAGTTCCCAGTGCCCACACAGCCAATAAAACCATCTATAACTCTAGTTCCAGGGAATCTTACTCTGTCTGGTGACCTCTGTGGGAATTGCATAACTCGGGTGCACCTATATAAATGGAGGCAAAACACTCATACATATAAAATTTAAAAAATGATAAAAGACAGAGATTAATAAAGGAGTCAGAAATTCAATAAAAAAATTAAAGAAGGGAAAAGACAAAGGCTAGACTAGTTAGCATAAAGGCAAAGAAACATGTGAAGCCGTAACAGCCTCTGTTGGCATTGGCATATTATTTCTTCCCTTTATAGGTCAACTTCTTGAAGCAGCAAGTTGCTTCTGTGCTTTTATTTGTGACTTTCTCTATGCTCCCCAACACTGAGGGTCCATGAGCACTCTCCTCTCCCTCTACTCCTTCCTCCCACCCTGCCTCCTCATTCATTTTGAGGGGAGCCAGTTGCCATGTTGGACAGCCCTGTGAATGAAGTCCATGTGGGGAGGAACTGAGACCACATCAAGCTTGGAACTGCCAGCAGTGTGTGATCCACTGTACTGTAAGACAGATCTTTCGGTCTTCAGATGATAGCCAACTGTAACCCTGTGAGGCATTCTGAGCCAAAATCACTTAGGAAGACACTTCTGGGCTCCCGACCCACAGATAAATACTTGGTGTTTTATGCCATAGTGTTTTGAGATACTTTGTTGCGTGGTGGTATATAACAAATATAGACCGTGATCTATTTGAAATATGGGTAGGGACCTGAGACAAAGATGAGGGTTTTGGACAGAGAGGTAGGACAGACATCACAGAGATTAAAAACCCAGATGTTCTAGACATTGTGGCATAGCTTGGAAATGGCCTTGGCAGAGATTCTATAGTTTCTAATTTGGACTTAAAGAATAATGATTCCCTTAGTCAAAATTAAAAACATTTAAAAACTAGATGTAGGGGAAGAAGATGAATTTGAGTTGTTTATATGAAACTCAGATAAAATTTCCCATTGAATAGTCTTAAATATTTGTAGAGATAGAGGATTTGGATGGTAGCTGAGAATTAGTGGTAGTTGAAGATTTGGGTGAGGACAATAACACTGGCTGATTTAGCATGTGCCTGTCTGTGTGCACATAGATGACAGGGAGAAAATGTTTTCAGGATCACCTAGGTGTCTTTTGAAAGGATCTGAACTATCTGTCTGCCTTGGCCCTACTCTATCCACCATCCCCTTGGGTCCCACCTCATCCCACTGTCCACATTAGTCCAACCCAATCCTAGTTGCTGCCTGCCACTACTGCTGCCACTGTCTGGAGGCCCAGGGTATGAAAAATGGTGGGGAGGCACCTGTGGGACTCACAGAGTAGGCTTTGACTCTATTGGAAAGTGTTGCCTTCCCCCTTTCCCAGGAACTCTAGTGTCTGCACAATCCCTGGCTTCCCTAACACCACAGAACATTCATTCTCAGCTTTGGGAGCCATATACAACTTTAGCCTCCTTGAGAGATTGAGACTTTAATGGTACAAGAGCTTTGAAAGTAGTATGACCATAGCAGCTAAGGTATATCTAAGAAATACAACTCCTCTGAGAGAAAGCACAGAAAGAAAGGAACTGAATGGTATAATTATTTTGGTCAACTTTCTGGATTCACAAAAATACTGATTTGGCATGACTACCCTCTTCCCACGCTCTGAAATCTTGGAAGACCTAGAAAGAGAAAGTGGAAATATTGTGAAAAATTCTGGGACCCTGGGGGTGATTTTCAACAAATAAGTGAGTGTGGTAGAACAGTAGATGCTGTGATGTACACTTAACTCTTCTTTTAGGAAGGAAAGGCTTATTCCCTTTACCTACTGGGAGTGCTGCCAGGAGGCAAACCTCAGGAGGTGGCCTGCTCTGGATCCTGCTGGTGGAGAGAGTCCCATTGCCAAGGTCATATCCACTGGAGCAGTTGGCATTTGATAATTGTTCAGTATGTGTATATGAAGGGTGTGGCTGTTTGCTGTCAGAACAGCTTTAAAGGGCCATCTCCACTTCAGAGCTTGCTGTGGGTCCAGCATTAGAGCTCAACATTTCTTGCTGCCCAGTTCTGTTCCTTCCTTCCCGCAGATGTTAATCCCAGAATGCTCTAGCATGAAGCTTCTTCTATTCACCATTCTGTTTTACAGTCTCTCTATAGTGACCCAACTTGAGTCAGATTGTCACATGGTCCTGAAGCAAGACAGCTCAGCCTGGCCGTGGGAGGGTAAATGGGGAAGAAGGGATGAAGCAGGTCTGCTGTTCTTGCTGCTTCTTATTGCCTTGGAGGCAAACTGCTCCTAATCAGGTGAAACTTCAGATTCTCCTATATGACCTCTATAGAAAGACCAGGCAAAGAGCTTCTACAGAGCTCAAATAGCAACGATTATAATCAACAGAAAGAACAACTCACTCTAGTGGTTTCCCCCATGTAATTCCACCTGCAAATGCCTCAGGGGCAAGAGAACAGCTGCTCTCCTGACCTCGCTTCTGCTTCTTCCCAAATAGCAGAAGCAGAAGGCCCGAGAGAAGATACTTTAAAGGCCTGATGGAACTGAAGTGGCCTGTATTTTTCTGGAGCATGGTACTCCTCCATCCACATCTTCCCACCTCTGGGCTCATAGCGTGTCAGAAGAGCGGGGGTGGAGAGAGAGGCATTAAAATGAACATGTGAAAGAAGCTGGTTGTCAGAAAATCCTGGAAACTCTTCCCCACCTGGGCTACTATGAGTAACAAACAGACTATGCCTGTGATATGCAAATAGATGGCAGATACTATGTAAATGTCCTATAAAGGGTCAGAGCTCACCTGACACCTGGCTTTTTGAGTATCTGTCTTTCACACGTCCTCCTCCAGGAGTACCATTTTCTCTTTCTTAATAAACTGCCTCTGTTTCTATCACTGTTTATGTGTCCGTGGTCCCATTCATTGTTCTGGGACATAAGAACTTGGAAATCCCAGTGGGTGTGTCCAGATTCTGATCTGCACCTACAACAAACCCCTAGGATCTATCTCTGCCTCCACCCATCCTCAGCACTTGGGTTAAATACTTAGACCACCACACCCCACTATTATTTTACATAGGTGTGAGAGATCCAAAGTCTGGTCCTTACTGAGCCATCATCTTCTCAGCCCCTGGGGAGAAGAGGGGGGGGGAGTTTCTAAAGTGTAAATGACAGCACTTACCCACTTAAAATGCCCCCTTTTGTGCTTTATCCATTCTCTGAGAAAAAGATCCTAGCTCTTCTCTCTCCCACCTCATCTCCCCCTTCCTTCCATTGTCATTGAGTTCTTCCTGCTGTCTTTTAAACACACCAAGCTATTTCTTCATTCAAAGCTTTGACATTTGCAGATCCTACTGCTGCGGTGGTTTTTCCCACATTCATTTTGGGCAGCCTCCTGGCCATGGTTAAGTCTCAACTCCAGCTTCCTTCTAGGACTTACCTTCTCCTTAGTCAGTGTCTATCCTAATACCTCATTCTACCTTGCCATTACTTAAACTTTTCTTGCGTACATAGTCGTGTTTCTTTTCTGTCTTCCATCACCAGAACCTTTTCACACATAGGTGCTTTTCTCACTGATTTCCCACAGCGTCTTAGCACTCAAAAGTGTTGTAGGAAGCCAAGTAATATTAGTTGACTGATTAATTTCTCAACTTTTCTGTTAAGGCTCAGTAAAAAGTGATTTTATGAAGTTGTAGGTTATTGCAAACTCGAGGTTAACAGTTTGTTTTCTGAGGCAGTATAAAATAGTCTCAGCCCAGAGAGGGTTCCTCTGTCCTATCGCCTATATACCCAAGAAAAAAAGGGTTTTGCTAAAGGTCTTTATTAGTCAGATTCCACCTACCACCCATTTGGCTCAGAATGTTCTCCTGGAAAAGTACCAAATGGAATATATATATATATTTTCCCTTCCTCTAAAATACTACCATGCTGATAGTGATACCCTGAATTGGGTGGGCGAGTCAGAGGCAGAGCATAAGATGATGCCAGGCCCTGCTGATGGTGATGTATAACCTGGTAGTGATCTGAAATTTGGTCATTATTTTCTTTGAGCTAATGCTTTTTGTGGTCTCTAGACAATCTGCAGCTTGGATTGCCAATAAAGAAAGATGTTCCCGAGTTTTCAGCTCTAGACAGATACTTGTAAATTATGCTGCCCCTCTCCCCATTTAGAACTATTCTCTTGGGTGTTCTCATTGTGACAGATATTGCTGAGGACTTTCTTAATGGTCACCCCCAACTTCTGTCAGAGTTGATTCATCTGCTTGCCCATGTGTCTTTTTGATTAGTTGATTAGTCTTTTCGGTGAGATGCACTTTGTTTAGATAGAAACGTGAAGCAATTCTAGATAAGAAGGTGCAAGAAGAAACTTTGCTTTGAGGATCCTGACCTTCAAGAAGGGGATGAACAAGAAGAAACCTCTTTCTCTGCCGGATGTTGTCTTGTCTATATGTGGTACCTGGAATTGTGAAAGTCATCTAGTGATCTTGAAAGAAAAGAGATGGCAGAGAAGGAGGTCAAAAACAGCTGGCTGTTGGATGATGTTGTTAAGCCACTAAATTAACCATACTCTAGTGATTTTTGTTATGTAGTCTAATCAGTATCCTTATGTTTAAACCATTTTTGCTTTGGGTGTCTGCTATGTGCAGATAGCAGCACTTTATCTGTATCTAGTAACTTTTAAAAAATTCCACTCTTTGCATGTGTATGTGTGTAGGTGCACGCATGTTACACATGAGTGGAGGTCCTGGAGACTGAAGGTGGTAGGTGTCTTTACCTGCTGAACCATTTTGCTTGTGTTGCTGACCCTGTACTTAGCAACTTACCAATAAAAAAATGACAGAGGAAAGTATTTATTTATTTTGAGACATGGTCTCCGTATAGCCCCAACTGACCTGAAACTTGCTATGTAGAGTTGTAGACCATCTCACAGAGATCCTCCTGCTTCTGCTGGCATCAAAGGCATATGCCATCATACCCAGCAAGGATTTGCTGCTTTATTTGACTTCATAAATAATTATATATGCAGCGGTTCTGTCTTTCATGGGACTTGTATAATTTAGTGTTTCTCAGGGAGACTTGAATTAATTTTATGGGAAGACAGGGAAAAATACAGATTCTTTGGCTTTACCCTAGACTTATTAAATCAATCTTAGAGTGGTTCATAATCTTTCAGTGGTTCAAGAATGTGTTGTTATGAAAGCACTTATGCGATTCAAGTGTATTCTGAAGACTGAACACCATGGTGCTGTAATGTGATCCATGAGTAATATAAGGCAGGATATATAATGAATTGCTGAAGTGTGAAATAGGAGCTCTCAAGTTCTGTAGACCTTCAGCAGCAGTGTGACAAGTTGGAAAGCAGGATAGACTGAGGGTGGAATACTGACTCCACCATCCAAAACAGTGTTGCAGTTGCTGGATCTTTAAACAGGGCCAACAGGCCTACTTTGCTGTTTGGTTGTAAGTTCTGTGATAAGTGAAGATGTCTGTAATGGATGGTAGCAAAACTAATATCATACAGCTGTACCACAGTTGAGTTATAATAAGGAGGCCCAGTGCACTCACTCTTGGGGGTGCCTGTAAGCTGAAGTCAAGATGTTTCCAGACAGAGCAGTGTAGAAGCTTCTCCAAGCCAGCAGAGGGAGCAGTGGAACAGGGCTGCTCTACTCACCTACTGCTGTCCTGCCTGTGTTGGCAAAGTGCTGACTCTACTATATTTGGCATGTTGAAAAGAGCCTCTGAGGAGGCAGCACCTGCTGCCATGCAAATGTATTTGTGTACACCATGGAGACATGAAGGGATTCATCCAAATGCTGAACTGTAGGTCTATCTTTTCCTTTAGTTTTTAAGGTTCAATTTATTTGTTTATTTATTTATTATTTATTTATTTGAGACAGGGTCTCCTTGTAGTCACAGAAGGCCTGGAACTCACTATGTAGACCAGACTGGGCTCAGTCTCACAAAGATACACCTGCCTCTGTCTCCTGAGTGCTGAGTTAAAGGACTGTACCACCATGCCTGGCTTAAGGTTTAGTTTTCAAAGTCATTTTATATTTGGAAAGATTTCTGTTTGGAAATTTCTTTGTCATGCCTAAAGCTTTTATGTTACTTAGAGTATTATGCTTTTTAATAATGCACAGTGAAACACTACCAGATACCTTGTTTAGTTTTATTCACTTGATTTTTATACAGCACACACACACACACACACACACACACAGGGCTTACACGCCCCCCCCCCCCGTGCCACTGCCACAAGGAAAGGGGATACTGTTGTTCGGCTGTCAAAAGCAATAACTGGAAAAAGAAACTTGTGAACATTTCTTTTTTACTTGTGAACATTTTTAATGCAGGGCAAATTCCTGATGGTGCTATTATTCAAATCACCAGGTTACCCTCAAAGATATGACTGGAGAACTTTAGTAGCAAGGTATGCCACCTGGATTCTACAAGTAAACAAACAAATCAGCTAGCTCTTATTAATATGCTATACTAATGGGATCTTTACTTAGAGTTAACCATGTAAGGAAAGAAATAACTGAGTATTCCAGACTCATTTAGATGGAGTTACTAAACACAGGAGACATAACTCCAGGGACCTCTCCATGAGAGATTTGGGTTTTCAAAGATCGCTGACTGTAGCTAAGTCTGAACAGATTTCCCCAGACTCTGAGTTCTGTTTCTCTGTTAGGCAGTGTGACTTACACCAGCTGTGCTGTAGCTGGCAGAGGCATCAGTACACCAGCCTCTCACTTTGCTGCCTGTTCTGTCCTTGTGAAGAGAGCGCTAAATTTACTTAGGAGATTCTGATAACCATTTTGGAAACCTGTAAAACTCAAAGACAAAAACGTGAAAACTTAAACCCTTTTCTGAACACAAAAGGGCACACTGAGAAGATTGTCCACATTTTTTATGAGACAGCTTTATGACTAGATATATTCTGAATGCATAGAGTCCTGAAAGAAAATGTGAAGTAAAAATTTAGGGAGTATTTTAATGCCTCACAAAAATAATTCTGTGAATGTGTGGGAAATGATTAATTAGAAAAATGGTTTTTTATACTTTCTTCATTGCTTGTTTATAACTAAACTGGCAGATGGATTTTGGTAGCTGTATGTTTTAGTTTGCCATCAATTGCTGTGATTAAAAACACTGACCAAAACCAACTCGGGGAGGAAAGGATTTATTTGACTTACAACACAGTTTCTCATCAAGAGAAGCCAAGGGAACTCAGGGCAGGACCTGAAGCACAGACTGTAGAGGAGTGCTGTTTCTTGGCTTGCTCCCCTGGCCTGTGCTCAGCCTGTTTTCATATACAACACAAGACCACCTGCCCAGGGGTGGCACTGCCAACAGTGGACTATGCCCTCCCTCATCACTCAACAATCAAGATAATGCCCCACGGACATGGCCACAGGCCAGTCCAATGGAGAAAAATTCCTCAATTGGGGTTCCCTCTTAACCAGGTGTGTCAAGTTGACAACTAAAGCTATTCAGCACACTGTGGAACCCTCTGTTGCCAGGTTTAACAGAAGTCTGAGTGCTCTGAGGTATGAGAAAGGCAATTCAAGTTAGGGATAATAATCCAGAAAGAAGCCCAGGGCCAGTGGGCCAGCATATAGCCTGTATGAGGGCAGGTCTGGAAAAGAGACAATAATGACATAGTTAAGAAGACTCTAGAGAGAGACTGGCTGTGGATCTTCTCAGTGGAAAGTTATACGTCAAAAGGTAAACCCCTCATGTTTAGTGAAGTTTTAAGAAAGTTGAGAAATTAATGATGTGCCTGGTGTGACTGGCTTTTATTCACTGTTGGAGTGGGCAAAAGTTCTAGGGCACAACTGCTGTGTGATGGGAGGCAGGGTAGACATTTGGGTCACATATTCAAGTACAATGGGTAACTGCAGCAGCAAGTGGTTCAGGATGTTTGGTGTTCCAATAGAGGTTGGTAGCCCTCTCAAAACAATTTACCCATGTAACCATGTTCTTCTTTTTGGTAACTTGTTTTTTTTTTTTTTTTTTTTTTTTTAGAAAGGTTTTTTTTTTTCGAGGTGTTGTCTTACACTGTATGTAGACCAGGCTGGCCTCGAACTCACAAAGATCCACCTGCCTCTGCCTCCCAAGTGCTGGGATTAAAGGTGTGTGCCACCATGCCCAGCAGTAACTTTTATTTTTTATGTGTCTTCAGTATGTCAAGAGACCTGGGCTTAGGTCTCTGCCTTTAGCCTTTGTCAGGTTGCTCCACAGAGGACTCCTTCTCTGCCCCATGTAAAAAATGACTTTTGCCCAACCCAACTGGTTGAGATCAATTTTTAAACACATATTTTATTATTTTAATTTTTTATGTGTATGAGTGTATTGCCTGCATGTGTGCAAGTGCATCTGTGTTGTGCAATGCCCACAGAGGTCAGAAGAGGGCGTCGGATCTCCTGGAACTGGAGTTAT